AGGTTATCGGATACAAAAAAAGAAAAATGACAACAGCCCACACAATAATAGCTGTCCAGTGTAGACTAATCAAAATTATACCTATATTTTTTTGTCAGATTGGTAAAAAATATATATATATATTTTTTGGTGTGCTGCAGAATTTTAATAATTAGTTTATTTGTGCCATGAGATGAAAAAAGTTCATCGCTGGAACAGATAGCACTCGGGGTAATGCCAAGGGACTCCAACCTCTACCGTCCTGAACGAATGCTTAATGGAGATGCTTTCTAATCTCTTCTCAGGGCACTTTCTTTGCCAGTGCTCTGTTCGTTTGACTGGGAAGAGGATCTCTCACTCTAAATGGAGGCCACATAGCATCTGGGATTATGGAAGTGAAACAATGTCACAAAACCCACAGGCGGGGCTCCCCCAGAGAAGGCTCTGACATCAGGCGTCATGGCTCTGCCCGTGGACGCCCCGGAGTTCCTCCGCATGCCGATCGTGTCTCACCCTTCTGCAGGGATGTTTCTACTCTCGCTCCCTGGATATGTCATTTCTGATCAAAGCTATTTGAATAACTTTGAAAAATTAAATGTTTGCCACACTATAGCTGTAATAAGCTGGGACACGAAAACTACTAACAAGCGCAATATTTTTCTAATTTGATGGTACAGTAAGACCCTCCCTCCCTTCCTGCAATCAAATAGCTCGTGGGGTCTGAAATGGTTTGCCAGTCTCACTTTCTACAGTAAACAATAGGTGCTGGCATTTAAAATTGACCTTTAGTTCTTCTGAAGCAGCGCATTGTTTTCAGCCTGTTGGTTGTAGAAAGCAAATGAAAATCGAAAGCAGTCTTAGTAATTTTCACATTTCCCATTGAAAGCAGTACATGGAAAAAAGTTTTAAAAATGATCACCCATGTGTAAGCTGATTCCACAAGGGTTGCTTCTAACCAAGACAGATAGGCAATTAAGAGGCTCAGATGCACCGCAGAGCTTCAAAAAGCACTTGCGCACTTTCAGTGAGGCAACTGAAATATATCTATATTCTTATGCACATCTTACTTTACTTACCACTACAATAAATATCGAGTCAAAAATTTAAAAAAAAAACCACTTAATTCAGGGCCAACATATCTAATGATGGTGTCATTTTTCTCTATAAAAATAGGTATACCCTCATTTTATTCAGTGATAATCAACAGGTTTGGAAACTGCAATGCTGTATAAATTCAGGATTCAAATTAAGGTTTGAATATTTTAGCAAATGAAACCAATGATAGAAAGAAGTTAATATCTTATAATGAGCCAAAACTGACCTAAGAATAAGAAAGCATAACAATTTCCACTGACATACCACTCAACATACCGCTGACTTTGAATTTTCTATGCCTGGAGATGATATTTTTTTTCCCGTGCCAATCACTCTCTGAACCAGATCCTGAAGACACATGTTGAAAAGATAACTCGACAAGGTCAGGCACACAGTTTGCAGCAGGAAGGTCTTTGGGTACAGCGCTGGTCTGCACGTGCAGGAAACCTGTGGCCTTGGCCTCATTAGAATTATGACCCAACCAAGTGGGCTAATTGGCCATTGCAAATATATGACTATAAACCACATCTCATTTTGCCTTAATTATAATATCTGACTCAAGTAAACTGGGAATACATAACGACATGGCATTGACATTCAAATACAGTTGTTATTTACTGAAAATAGAAGCCAATTTCACATTTTTAAATAGTTCTTAGAAAACACAAATGGGTATTAATCTACTGTAATTTGTAACACCATCTTCATTGAGTTCTTAAAAACTTAAGGGGAAATTCTAAAGGCTCTTTGGCACCTCTGAGTTTCAAGTGGAGAGAAGCCGTAGGACATTAGCCCACACAGAATGCCGATTGATCACTAACACAACCCGCTCTCAAAGCTTGTATTTTCCTTCCCATTAACCTAGCACACAGCTGCCTTCTAAGCTTTGGTTTCCTTATATGTGAAACGAGGACAATGTCTACCTCACAGATTGTGAGGAGTCATCAATATAATTAAAGACCCCCAGACACTGCTGAGCACATGATAAATGTTCTCTTTCTTTTTAAACTGGCAGGTCGAACTAAGGGTGTGTAAATGAATACTGTAGCCGCTCCCGCTCCCCGCAGGGAAGAGGTGGCCGTGTCAGTGCACGGCCTGTATTTGGAAAGGTGTGCACAGAATTTCTTTAGAAAGTGTGTATAGGGCCCCACAACAACTACCATTTATTGAGCACTTACATATGTGTCACTTAACAGTCTCTATTCACTTTTAAAACTGTCTCCATTTAAAGTATTTCCAAACCCAGGCAATTTGTTTGATATTGCACTGCCTCTGCAGCAGCTCTGAGAACTCTGAGACACTCGCCGAATTGGCGCGATCAGATCAATACACAGGCAAAGTCCCTGCATAAATGGCCATGGCGAGGTGACCTCGGGCTGGCCACAGACTTCAGTGCAAGTGTGTCTGTCAAAAGTCCTGCTGCCAATTAGCAGTGTCAACAGCAGCTCTGCAAGGGTAGATGTATATTCTATGAGGTGGGGTAAGAGGGGCTCCTAGAACAGAGTCTCTTTCCAGCCCTGAAGATTAAGGCTTCTGATGAAAAAGCATCTTACCACTCTCAAAACTTGCTCTAGTTACTGAGCATGCCCAGTGGCCATGACTAAGGAGCACTGAAGAAGAAAGGTAGAAAGCAAAGTAAAAAACAAAAGTTGACAACAATAAAAGGAGTCTCTAGCTGTTGCTGTAACTTTGAACAGCCCTGGTTGTATGAAAGAAAAGTGAAATAAATTAAACACAAAAAAGATCTTTGATATTAAGAGAGAGTGACTCACATTTTAAAAATCTATGCAAATGGCAAAAACAAGTTATTAGCTACTGAAATGAGCTCTCCGTAGACCCACTATCTTCTGCAGCCCCTCAGTGCACCTGAGTGGGAGAAGCTCCTTCCCTGGGGCAAACTGTGGGCACTAGAGCACTGTGTCTCCCCACGACCCCTTCAACTTGGCTTCAGCCAGAACCACTCACCTAGGTTAACTGTTGCATTTGCTCACACACCTTATGAAAGATTTCAACAAGGTGCTGAAGTGTGAAAATCATTGCAGTGCATTACCCCCAAGGATTCAACAAAACATGCATGTTAGCTGTATCTAGTTCAGACCTACCCCCCAGTAAATACATTACTGACAAAATTCAGGCTTTTTCTAACATTGGTGTTGGTTAGATTTACACAACAGCGGCAGCTGGCGGAGCGGTGTTTGGAAGCCCCATCATCCAGACGCCAGTTTCTACGGCTCCCACCTCCTTCCCAATCACCAGTCCTCATCCAGGAATGGCTGTTGCCCTGGCCAAAGGCGAGTGCATATGTCAAAACCGAGGAATTCTGAACTTGAATCTTTAACGTCAGTTCTAAAATGTCCACCCAATTAAATGTTACTTAAAAAGAGCCGAGCGTCAACTAGAGGATATCCATTGGTAAGGCTTAATAAGAGGAAATAGCTGGAAACCATAAATGTGCATTTTTAAAAAAACCTTATAATTTTCACATCTCTGATCACTTGGCACACAAAAATGCACAATTCAGATAATGGGTAGCGCATCACTTATTCTATCTATGACTGTATTTTTTGACTTCTAATAAGCTTCTAAAACTTAAAATTCTGTACTAAAATGAACAAAAACAGAAACCATAAATTTAGAAGCTAAAGAGTTAGTTTGCTAATGTGAAAAGTTTGTTCTATGTATTTAAATCCGTGACTTATTTTGGGACACTATACCCAGTTTAATACAGAAAATCAGTTTATATACCAACAGAAGTAAAAAAAAAAAAAAAAAAAAAAAAAAAAAAATCCAGAACTTATTCTTTCCCTAAAATCCTTCTGTTCCTACTCAATGATACAAACTATAATTTCTAAGCAGTCTTTATTTCTAAATAAACAAAAGCAAATAAAACCCCCAAACCTCACACACATGAAAATTATAACTAAGGCAGATTTCAATACTTGCCATGTATTAGGGAAAAGCAGTACAATTGATTGTACTAACAGGGAGGTTTATCCGCTATGAACCCCAAATTTAGGAAATCACGCAGTATTCCCATATTAACTAAACATATAAATAGAAATGAGGGAAGAGAATGTACATTTATATATTATTAAAATTTTGAATCTAATTCTATTTACTGGGAGTTTATTGGCAAACTCTCTAATAAACATGTATCTGAAAATGTGATTTTGGCTATAAAAACAAGCTTTTTACCAAAGTTAAATTTCAGCTGATTCCACAATCACATTTAGTCTGGAATATTAAGCTAAGAACTTACAGAATTGTCATTGTATAGTTTGTTATTTTATTATAAAGCATCACTTTAACTCATATATATTGGCAATATTTGGCCTGTAGAGGGAGTACCTATGACAGTTTAAAAACTGACAAAGTATTAATTTTGGGCAAGAATTTTTAAGGAAGTAGAAATCTTTAAAAATTCTAAAGCCTGAGAAAATCAGGCTGGATGTAGTTTAATTATGGGAAAAAAAATGGGATTTTAAACTATTAAATCTACATTCTCCCTGTAAACACAGTATGTATCTTATTTCCTTAAAACTATCTTGGAGCTAGTCAACACTCCAAAATAAAATCATTGTTATTCCTATCTTAGTTTATAATTTAATAAATCAGTATGTTTTCTTAGCCAAGAACACAGGTAACCTGCATTATGACAGATATATGAAGCTGGTAACAGAAATCATCTAAAAGCTTTGAAATGTTAGAACTGAAGGCTTTCTGCATCTGTAAATTAATGGCTTTTAGGGGGGGAGGAACTAAGGTACTTAGACCATAACCTCTTAAAATCTACAGCAAAAGGGAAATACTGATACGAGTTTTTAAAAATCACAAGTTATAATAGTGTAAAATAAAGTTGCCATTTTATGAATTTCAATGTTTATACATGCAATACAAATTAAAACATTATAACACCATCTTAAAGAAAACAATAATGTATAAAATCTTTGATAAATAAAATTATTGCATTTAATGTCATTGTTTTGAAAATCAAAATCATTGAATTCCTTCATGTTATACTGAATATAAACAATAACAGTTCAAATTAGAGGAAATGTATGCCAATACCAGCTTCTGACAACAATAAAAAAGTTAAAGCCCTGCAAATTTGTCTGATTTAGGTTGGGTAATCATGGAAACAAACAAATACTTAAAATTATTTATTTTATCATTATGCACATTGAAGGAACGCATTATAGACAGCAGAGTTCTTTCCCACCATAAAATTATTTACACCCATTTATTTAGCTAGAAACACTAGCTTGAAGAGGTACTGGTATATTCCATTTGTAATAATTTCTCTACAGCACACAATTGTCTTATATTGGAGCATGGTGAAGAAAATATTGTCTCATAAGTCTTTTTTGTTCTTTTGAGTCTCAATCACTATAGCTCAAGGTATTCTGACAGAATCCCGGTGTCCTGAATGGCCTGATGAACGCATTAAAATTAAGCAGTGTGTTTGTATTCTGAAAATACTCTTAGAGCCGTACAAATGTTGCTTGGGTTGTGGGTCATATATTTCTCCTACTGGCACTATGACATTTGAAGGACAGTTGTTATGACAGTTTCACACCAATTTTATTTTGTTCCTTCTTCATTAGCCGCTGTGCTTCCTTTTCCAGTTTCTTTCTTTGTTGTTCGGCGGCTCTCTTTTCTCTATCTGCTATCTTCTGCTGCCTGAAAAGAAACATATTCCTATTTTTACTTTTAGAAAATACCACACAGGTAAAATGGCTTATACATTCCAGAAAGAAACGGCAGTGCCTTTTTACCAGCGTCAAATGTAAGTAAAAACCTTCATTCTTTCCACTTTGAAATTTCAGAGATTTTCAAAAACAGTATCTCTGTCAATCCTCAGAATATGACTTACAAATTGAAAGAGGTACTATCTATTTTACAAACAAGTAAAATGAGGCACAAAGGCTAAGTGACGTGACCAAAGTTGTCAGATTAAATATAAGGATAAGAAGCCACATCTCCTGACCCCTCTTCTTCAGATCACTTCCACTAAATCACAACTTCCATTGCACCAAATCCTTTTCTTGATACCACTCAGAAAAGCCTGATACTGAGGATTCAGTCTCCTTTAATTATAATAATTAAAAAACAGCAAAGGATGTCAAGAACAGAGATTTGTAGAGCACAATGCAAAATAAAAAGGAAACACAAAATATGCCTTCCAACTAGAAGCTAGATTTCTATTTAAGGACTAAACAGAAATTTTTATTAAGGTATTTACTTATTACATATCATGAGAGCAGGAGTGGGTGATGCAACAGGCCAAAGGAGAACAGAAAGTGGTCCTGGATTTGAAGGTTTAGGCTACGAGAAATAAGCAGCACGCAAGGTTGAGGAAGAAAGCTGTAGCCCTCAGCTGGGAGTGGTGCCGGCAACACTAGGTTATATACAGAAAACTCCAGTGTGCACGACCTACACAGCGGACTGCAAGCCGGCTACCATGAGTGAAACACATATGCAAATCTCAACCATACTTATAACAGGGAAAAAGCAGAGTTATAAATGACCAAAATTCAAGAAAGTAGAAACTTGTTGTAGGCAACATTTTGACCATCACCATCAATTAACTACAGTTTCAAAAGAATAGTTTTTAAAAATCTACTTCTCACTAGCTTTTCCCACATTCAATCAACACTGATAATTTGCACTAAAAAAGTCAATATGCCCATGGTAAAAGGGAGAAAGGGAAAAGAATGGTAAAAAGCTGGTTAGGTTGCAAACAAGTATAAGATAATCAAGCTTCGATCTGGCCAGCAGCTGAAATATAAACATCAACAATTGATGTTTCTGGCACAAGAGGAAACTTAAAGATTACTGCAGACAAAATATATTTTCCTTGTCCAGATATATGGCCGGGGTAACTAATGTACCAAAGTCTTCTCCTTAATGATACTGATCACGGTAGCGGCAGGATTTGAAAGTGGCGATGGGAAAGGGGCCGAGTTAGAGGGTGTGGAGTATGGATATACTGTTACAATTCACCCTGTTCTTTTGGGGGTGGGAACAAAAGATGGAAGCTCCATGTCTCTGGTGCTCTATATACGCAACTTGCAGCATAAAGCATGTCTATTACTAACTAACAGGCTCCCTCTCCCCAGCTGTCATATCCTGTAAAACACTAAGTGTGGGTGTTTGGTCTTGTTTCATTCAGGGTTCAAGAGGACAGGGTGGGAAGTGACGGTTTTGCAGACACTTGTGAACTCAGGCTCTGCAGTGCTGTCATTAAGACCACTGGATTCAAAACGAACAGCCCTTTCCTTTATCCTTGTGTTTAATAACAGAAATCCCCAAAATGTTTTAAATACTCAGACCTCAACACCTATGATATATCCAAAAAAAAAAGAGAAAAAAAAGATGGTTTATATTTTCTGATGATCCATATACTATAAATGCTGCCATTTAGAATTTTAAAAATACTTCCTTTATACTGAATAGCGATCAAATAAACACTAAATATTTAAAATTCTCACAATTTTATTGACTTTTAAAATGGACCCCTAACTGGGGGGCGGGCGGGGGGGATAGATAATGAAAACAAGGGCAAAAGCAAAAGAGAAAAAAAAAGTCAGGCATGAGGCCCAGTTACTTTACTGCACCCTCTGCTGGTTGTTCAAGGTAATAGTAATATATTGATGAAAGGAATGTAAAAATATGAAACTGTTTTGTAAAAATAGTCAAGGGGAAATAATTTTCTATCTCTATTATAAAAACAATTAAAATAAAAATTCATAGAGCTGTACTTTATTATATAATTTTTCAAGATGCAAAAGTAATTTAGATACAAACAACTGAGTTTTCATCAGTGATAATAGTCAGAAACTCTTCTAAGTTTTCTTTTTACTCTTTGACCTAATCCAGGAGTAGCAAGAATTAAATTTAATACTTACAAACACAAAGAAATAAGAATGCAATGAGCAATGCAAATAAACTTGAAAACCTCCAGTATATTTTCTTTCTTACGTTACCTACCTCATATGGCTTTTGTGTACGTCAATTAAGGTACACATAGAATGTAGAATGCTGTAAGTTATTTTAATTCATATTTGAGGAGCTAGGCACTATGCTAGACCATGGGAAACAAAAATAAAGGTATAATTTCTGATATGGAGGAATATATAGTAGTGACTCACATTTCATAGTAGGACATTTCAAGAGGTAAATACACTTTAAAGTAATGAAGTACAGAGTATATACTGCAATACGGTGTATATGTAAAAGATCTTATTTGCCATTAATAAAATTATTCTTTTGCTTCTATAATGCTTTAAATTCTTGATTTCTAAGAGATTTTAATCATATAAAATAGCATATGTAGTCTGAAATACAAACAAAAGCATCCCGTATTATCTAAGGTTCAAATGAGAATGAGGAAGAATGTAACATTTGGCAGAATAAGCTTTCTGGACCTGAAGTGTAACATGAACAAGTCCAGCACTTCTGTGCAGGTGGCAATGTAAATATTACTCAAATACCTCAGAACTTCTTCTGCCTGCCAGGCTGCATCTTCTTCTTCTTCCCATGCATTGGTATTTTCCTGCCAGGTATCTAAGTCACCTAGTTCAGGCTACAGTAAAAAGCAAAACAAAATTACAATTGTAAAGAGCCATTCCTCCTCCCCTCCGCAGTCAAGAAGAGCATCCTTCATTCCGCTGTGTCTTCCCCAGTCCTACACAGGGCCCAAACGATCTGTCCCCTGGTTTGCCTGGAATGGAGGGTTCCTGTGACACGTGACTCAGTCCTCAACAGTCATGGGCAAGTCCAGCTTTTTTCCTATTTCGTTTTAATGAATACTCCTCTAACATGAACTTTCCCTTTTTGCCTAGTTTAGTTTGGAATGGACAAGAATAAAACAATTGTTCCTGTCTCTCTTTTCAGTAAGAGAAGGGGGGGGCAGCCGGGGTGGGGGAAAGAGAAGACTGAATCAGACTCTGTGCTGGGAGGTGAACTGGAAGAACCGAAGTTTCAAACTAGCACAGCCATCTTCACTCCAGTGGAAGTAACTTACAGATTTCTCAGTGGCACTTACTGTCTGGGTCCTAGGCAAAAATGACAAACCAGGCAAACTATACTCTTGATCAGGATACTACCATATGGTGCTTCTGCTGCCTGTCCCCCTTACCAGGGGCAACCAAGCTGGCCCCTACCTTCAGCTGTTCCCCAGCCCCGCCCTCTGTAAGCTCACTTTTTTCTTCCACAGACCAATGGAAATGCTAATTCTGGAATGTTTATTTACGTGTGGAAGTGATTACGTACATGAAGTAACTAGAACCAATCTGTGAGAAGATTTATGGCATGCTCTTTTTGAACACTTACACCTAAAAATGAAATAAAATGTATTGAATTTTCTCCTAACCACAAATGTAATACCATCTGTTAAAATTTTTAAAGCATTTCTAATTATCTCTTTAATATAAACTTCTAAAAAGTAGAATTGCTAAGTCAAAGACAAGAAAGATTCTTAAAGCCACTGAAACAAAATACAAATGACTCTGTTGAAAACCTATACCAACTTATCCTCCAGACAGCAGTGGATAAAAACTTGTGTCTTTGAACCTTTGTCAATACTGGTAATAATCTTCTTTTCCAACTTTGCTAATTTGTTAAGATCTAAAAATGGTGCCTTATTATTTTACTCTAAATTTGTTTGAAAACTAGTAAGATCAAGCTTTTTTTCATGTTATCAGTTATCTACTTTATTTGTTAATTTATCCAATTTTCCTCAGAGGTTTTTGACTTTCAGTGTATATAGCATTTAGATTTTAAAAAATGAAACTACTAAGACCATAAAAAGGGGTGATATCTGATCCTTCAGGAGAGACGGCCTTCTAAGTAAAAAAGAAGCTGTAAAATGTTTATACATTTGGTACATAAAATCTAAATACACCGAAAACATCTGAACCAAATTATAAAGCTGAAAAATTGTAAGATGACAGAAAAAAGTTGCTATTATTTTCTTTCTAAAAAAGAGCTATCAAAACAATACGAATGATAAGTTCCAAAAAAAAAAAAAAATAGAATGTGCAATTTAAAAGAAAAACCGTGTTTGTGGAATGAGTGGTAAAGTATTTCTGGTGTAGTGAACACAGCACAGGAGGTTACCATTCCGGCCTAGGCAACGGCCTCCTTTGTTTTGTCTGCTTGGGAGGAAAATACGCGAAAAAAGCATTGGAGACATTCTCTCTCTACACTCTTTCCCCCTCCCCAACTCTGTAAGCTGTTATATATTTACAACTTTATGAGCTGTATTAATGTTATAATATCTTAAAATTCCAGTTAGGTGGTGTATGTGTACTAATTCACTGGTAAGGTCTGTACAACTTTACCAACACAGAGCATGCATACATGACTGTTTATAATTTTGAAATATAAAATAAAAATTACACATGCTGGCATTATGCTCTCTGAGAAATAGCTATTGTACTATTGTGCTATTGTAATATCATGTACCTGCAAAGGAGTTATCAAAATATGTAATGTTTATTACTTGTGTGATCCTTTATTTAATATTGTGCCTTCCCCATGAGAATGCTTTCTTCTAAGGCAAGGACCCTTCCTGTTTTGCTCACTTTCCACGACCATACTGGCACCTAGCACAGCATCTGGCACTGGCAAAAACAGTTTTTGATCAATGAATAAGAAACATAATAAATACGGGTCCCCTGAAGAGGGAGAGGGAACTGTGCAGCTTAAACAAAGAGATAAACAGACAGATAGATGTGGTGGTTTAAAACTATGTCTGCAAATTCTCTGATACTCCTTTCAAGAAGTGGAGCTTAATTGTTCTCCTCTTGCATGTGGACTGGATTTAGTGACTAGCTTCCAATGAATAAACTGACGTGGAGGTCCCAGTGTGTCACTTTTAAGGCTCAGTTATAAAGAGGCTTTGTAGCTTCACCCCTGCATGCTCTCTCTCTTTTTCCTGGGGAGCACTTGTTACGGGAAAGCTGGCAGTTACATCCCGAGGAAACGCAAATAGCCGTAGGCCCCTGGAGAGGTCCACAGCAAAGAGCTGAGGTTCGTGAAACCAGTGGGCACTAATTTCCCGGGCATGTAAGTGAACCTTTGAAATGACTCCTCAGATGCTACAGCCCCAGCTAATGACTTCCATGGAAACTCATTAGAAACCCTGAGCCAGAACCACCCAGTTTCGTCTCCCCTGGATTCCTGACCCACATGAACTGGATGAGAAGAAAAAGTGTTTCTTGTTGTGTAAGTGTGGGGTTGTTATACAACAATAGACGACTCATATAACCAATTAATAATTACTAATCAACAATCAATCAAAGCCTATTTAAACTTAGGTCTGAACCTTGGTGGTTTAAAAAGTTCAAAGGTGATTCTGATATGTTCCCCAGGTTGACAAACAGAGTCATATACTCTCCTCACTTCTTTTGTCCTTAAAGGTGCTACATTTACATCAAATACATTTAAACTCAAATCACATTTTAAAAGTAAATAAATCTACTAGGAAAAAATTCACAACTCACTTAAAAATAGCCTGCTATTATGGTTAAATTTTAGTGGTAATCTCTTTCAATGTTTTATTTTCAAGTAACATTTTGTCTCTATCTTTTGCCTGTACAATGGGACTGTGATGGTAGTATCAAATGTAATTTACAATCTCATAAAGGACAGGAAGAGTAAAACTCCAGATTAACCTCCCTCCATCTACTAAACCTGTTTCAAAGTCGTAGAAATATTAAGACAAACACTAAGCTCAATTCATTTTAATTTTTTTTTCTTATTTAAAGAAAACAGAATCAAATCCAACCCTTGCTTAGATACCAGTAACATACTTACTGATTGATGAATAAAAGGCATATCTTGTGTAGCTGCTAATCTACTAGAGAAACCTGTGCTACCATCTGGTATGCCAAAATTTAACGGTTCTCTCTTCTTAATAATGATCTGCAAGATTAATTGAAATAGAATTATAGGAATATTTTATACATCACTAATACAAAAATAGACGATAATTAACTGATCAAAGCATTTTATAATTATTTAAAATAGGTCTACCTATCTTCTTTTAAAATTTACAATGTAAAAAAAATTTTTTAGTAGTCTATAAAACGTACCAAAATTCCCAGGCAACTGTCATATAGATCAGTTACATGAGAAATACTGTATTTCACACTTTAAAAAAAAGAATAATACATTTTCCTCTTTCTCTTTCCTCTTTCCTAGACCCCAGAACCCCAAAATGTAATTACTTACTTTTAGTCATGGTATTAAATAAGAACATGTATTATATCCTATCAAAAGTATAATCAGCTCTCTATGCATGTGGAAAATCTACGAATACATTAAGTTACAAAATTAGCTTTGTAACTTAAAAGGATTCTTTCTAATTAATTTATTAAGGTACTACTGTAATATAGTAGGTTACTATTAAGAGCAGCAATATACTACCAAAATACTAAGAAATTCACTTGAACTCCTTAAAAAATATACAATTTTATGCTTTTCAGCACTGAGACATTTAAATAACTCAAGAAAAACAATTATGATTACAGAATGTAAATGTTATCAGTCTTGAAAATATAAAAGTAAACACACAGCTGAAACTGGATGAAAGAAGAAGGTGGAATAAATAAGGTCCTCATTTTATAAAGTATATTTATAAGAAATACTTTCTATGCTTGACTGAAAAAGAAACGGAACTTTAAGTGTGTGTGTGTGTGTGTGTTTTTAAATAGCAGAGTGGCTGATGAAGTAGATGGAATAATGATATTATAAAACTTGAAAGAGGGGGAAGGAAGTAGTATGAAATAAACCCTCATTTACCATACTATAAAATCAATGGACAATGTCTGTTAATGGTAAGTCAAGATGTAGCAACCTAAGCACAAACAGGAAAAAGTCCTTAGTGGCTGCTTCTGGGAAGCAGAACTGCTTATGAAGAATGATGGAGCAAAAGTCTGTTGCTTTTCTCTATAAGTTCTATATTGTAAGATTTAAAAATATTTTTCAAGTATATGTATTATTTGGTTTTAAAAAAGAAAAATACTCAGCCACTGCTGTCTTTCCAATAATTCCCTGCATCTTTAAGTGATCATCCATATTCAACTCAAAAGAGACTAAATGAGTACGAATGGCTAACACAAACCCACAACAATTACTCTAAGTTCTCAGCTCTAAGTTACAATGGAAAGAACTTATCGGTTTGTAGATATCACTAAACTGTGAACTCTTTTAAGGTTAGGCTTGTATCTTATTCAGCTTAGTCTCCACAGCAGAGCCTGGAGTCGAGACTCTAATATACAGTAGACTTTCAACACATGTTTACATATAATTTTAAAAGAGGCACAAATTACTAGATTTGTGTCTAGGTCATTTGAATATATAAAATTAATCTTCAACATGACAGATACAATAAATGAATAGTTAAAAATAGGCTTTCTAAAAGTACTAATTATATTATCTAATTTTAACTCTAGGAATCTGAAAAGCAGTTTCATTACTAAAAGCACAAATCTTTAACATACTTTCTGAGTTTTCCTTATAGTTGGTGTCATGTCCTTAAAATAGTCAGGTTCCAGCTGTTCCAAAGAATTTTGTTGTGTTGCCACATTCCCATTCCCTCCTTCAACCTTTACACTTGTGGGTGCATCTTCATCCCAGGATGTCCACTCTTCAACATCTGTCTGAAGTTAATTGATCGACATTGTCAGCCATGCAGGGTAAATATAATTAACATCTCATTCATAGTTTATTAGAAAAATGGGCTTGCTAAAACATTAGTTTTCAAACATTTTTGACCAATAGGGAAATATAAATTTTATCTCACATACCAAAACTACATCAAAAGTTTTAAAAAATACTTTTACTCTGAGTTAAGACATTTTTTTCTACCCAGGTACAAAAAAAAAAAAAAAAAAAAAGCAAATGCTTTGAAAATTGAACTGACATTACAACTATAGCCAACAAAAGGACTGAAGCTTGCAACCTAGGCCTAACCAGATTGATGGCCTGATAAACTAAAGAATATCAACATTCTGGATAGGATTTAAATAAGATAACAGTCTCAAATATATTCAGAATGTCCATGAAATAACACGAAATTATTCAGCAGAAAAGAATCAAGAAATCTCAACTCATATAGATAAAGTCAATCAAGATACAAATGTTGGAATTATCTAAGACTTTAATATAGCTATTAAAAATGTGTCCCAATAAGCAACAGAAAACATTCCTGAGACCAGTAAGAAAAAAAACAGAAAATCTCAACAATAAATAGAAAATAAAGAATCAGACAAAAAATTTAGAATCAAAATATGTAACAATAAAAATCAAGACCCTGAATCCCAAATTAACTTTGTGATATAGTAAATGATTGGCACTGAGTTTGAAAATATGGTACTGGAAGATAATTTATTCAAACTTTAGAGAAAATCACCTGTTTTGGAACTGATGAATAATCAACTGTAGTTGGCAAAGTTATTTGGTCTCCACTTAATTTCCGTCCTCTGCCGGATCTAAAACAAAAATGAAATAATTTATTTCAAGAACTACTAAAACAAGCATAGGTAAAAGCACTGTGGACAGTAACTTAAGGCTTAATAAGAGATCTTTTCTGAATTTAGAATTATTTATTTTAATAATTAACAGTTGCTTATTAAGATACGAAACAAAAATCATGCATCAGGTATCTTATGTTTTTAAAATCTTGGATAATACAACAAACATGATAACTGCTTTTTGACTTAGGACTCAGAACTACAGACAAACTCAGGAAGAATATAAAGCCAAAAACAAAAATGCAGTGGTTTCAAGTCATGCTACTTAGATTGCTGTTAGTTCTACAGGGCAAGCTCTGGGACGGCTTTGCTCTTTTAACCAGGGTTGCTTGGCTTTTGTTTTATATATTTGGCTTCTTGGTAAGATTACCTATTAAATTAAAAAAATGTTTGAAAATCACTGGTTTGAACTAAACTGTAACTGACAGGTTTTAAGATTTAGTAGGAAAAGTAGTATGTTAAACAGGATAGGTATTATAGCTCAGATGTTAAAAGCATGGGCTATGCAACCTGTGTAAACCATGATTTTCATGTTGTGTCTATTATGAGTCTAGTTGGAATTATCTAACCTCTCAGCCTCAATATGCTCACCTGTAAAATGCACGTATTAAACCTACTTTTGTAGGGTTGTTTAAGGATTTAAGTAAGTAATAATATTAAAGCAAATAGACACTAGAAAGTATCTGCTATATAATAAGACATTTAAAAAAGGTAGCTATTATAAATGATCAGTCATTTGCTTCTTTTCAAATAATCTACAAAGCATCTATTAGATCTAATTGCTAAAATCGGCTATTTTTATTACAAAATTAGAAGTCATACTTTGTTTAAAGGATAAATAGAAAAGTAATAGTTTACTACTAAATTTATCACATAAACCTGGTATTTTAGAACACATAATCTTAGGTTCCTTCTGATACTTTAAGAAAAGCTTATTCTAAAAAATGGTCGATTTCCTTAAAAACAACATAAAATCAATCCTAAATATATTTACATAGACAATAGAAATTTATGTGACAGGAGAAACATCCTTAATATTTTTAAATCAAATGTGATTTCTTATACTAAAAGTAATCTATATTCAATACAAGTTTTAGAAAATACAGATTCAAAGAGAAGGACACTCTAATTTTCACTACTGTTAACTACTTTTAACCTCTGGACTTCTGGCAATTAATATTCATTCTTGTCGTACTTTACCTAGTGAATTTCTGGCCATCGTCCTCAGGCTCTGAATGATTTTGAGCACGTTTTCCTACTTCCCAAAGCCTGTCCTTTTGCTGAGTGATTTCAACAATCACCTAGATTTTCCACTTCTTTGTTGACGTTCTCATCCACCAATAATCTCCACTCATTCCCTCAGCCATATCTTGGACCTCTCTTTTAAATCCCAGATCACTCTAATTCTAACAACAAATTCAATGCCAATTAATCCTCAGAGTTTTAGTAGTTATAAAATGGCTATTTTCTGGACAGCAAGCTGAGAACAGAACTCTTCTGTGAAACTTCTAAATCATGTCCACTAAAAAAGAGAGCTGATTGCCCTCCAATTCCTACTTTTAATGTGCCAGTACCCTTAGGTCAAAAGAAATACCCAACAGTTCCATTGATTATGTAAGTAGGCCCAAACAACTTAACACTTACGTATGTCCTAACTGCTTAGTGGCCATTTGAAAAAAAAAAAAATCAAGTCAAAGAAAAAATAATATTCTTATTTCAAGTTTAAGCACAATTACTTACTAATAGAATGTGCGTGCCTGTTGGAAACTGTACAACTTCTCAAGCCTTGGAATCAGATTGCATATCACTACCCTCATTTTCTGTTCTACAGTAATTTTGATTCAGTATTTGCTTTTAGTTACAATCTAAAATTCTAGCTTTGCAAAGATAAGTCACCAAAAATGCAAGTAAACAAAAACTTATCTCAAACATTCAAGTACATTCTCCAAAGTAGTGCTATAGGATCTAACACTGCAAATGTGGACTACCTTGAGCCAGTAGTTTGTGCAGTGTTTAAAAGGTGTGGACTGTTACATTCATTGTGTTTTGCTGGAAAATTAAAAATATCCTACGGCACTCCTGTGAGTTTAATGTGAAGCCCTGAAGTGTCTTAACACACAGTTTAGAAACTACAGAAAGGGAACTCCAGTCTCTGGATGAGTTACAGAATGGAATGACTCACCTGACCTACTCTACATGTACATTCTGGCATATTATTTAAGAGACTAAATATAAAAAAGAAACTGTTTTATTTGGGGTTTCTCTGTTAAAGTTTTTAAAATATAAAAATAACATTCATATTGTAGCCTAAAAGAAACACCTGTGCCTAATTCCACCTAACCATCTTAAGACATTCTGATATGAAATACCTGTGTACATTAAAACCCAGATAATTTTCATAATGAAAATTGGTTTGCTTATTTCTGAAATCCTATAGTGCTAGAAATGTTATTTTTATGGAATATGTAAGAATTTAAAAGAAAAAACATGGAAAAAATATTTTAGAAATACTAGAGATTAGTAAATGAATACTCCAATCAAGAAATTTAGTTTAAATATAGCCTGTCCTGATGTTTTATAGTTTGAAGGCATTCAAGCAGAAAGAAGATAAACAGGTCAATTTAAACATAAAATTTGTTTACCTGCATATCAATCTCTTTAGGAATGAGAATATTGTTGCTAAGCATGTACAAACTTTAAATAACCGAAATTGTGTGATAGCCATGGTGGGAAGCAAAACCTGTGGAAAAGGCATAAAAACAAATGCATTAAATGAATTTCATAAGCTATACTCCTGTTTTAAAGTCCATCTTGTAAGTCCTATTGTAAGCTGTGAAAACCAGGCATATTTTTTTACTTTCTTTCATAAACTACATAGATAGCACAGTAAATTTAAACTTAAAATGCAGTGATGTGGCTCAGTGGCTTGAGCGCTGGCCTGCGAACCAAAGGGTTGCTGGTTCGATTCCCAGTTAGCCCGTCTGTCTGGGCTGTGGGTGGAGTCCCCACTTGGGGGCCTGCGAGAAGCAACTGATCTATGTTTCTCTTGCACTTTGATGTTTCTGTCCCTTTCTTTCTCCCTTCCTTCCCCTCTCTCTTAAAATAAATAAAAATAAACACTTAAAAAAAAATGTAAATCATGAGAGGTCCAGGATGGCGGCAGTGAAGGCAACGGAATTCACTTCACCCCCTCCCGTGAGTAAACTCATATACAAACAATTACTCCCGTACAACCTAGAGCTGAAAAAACACCATCTGAACAACAAACGAGAAAGAGACCAAATAGAACCAGCTGGTTAGCAACAGGAGTTGCAGGAACTCCGTGGTCAGGAGGAGCCAGTGAGCGCCATTGTTTGTTTCCCTCTATTTCCATAGGGTGGGTGGGGCTCTATTCCTGGGCTTTGACTTACCTGCAAGACCACCACAGCAGTGCCCAGCTGCACTGCCCTGAGCCTTTCACCTCTGGAATAATGGGATCAAGCAGGAAAAACAGGGTGTCGCCAAAACAAAAACCCTAAAAACTAGCAAAGTGATGACAGCCTGTCCAGACCTCTCGGAGTGGGCTGAGGGTGAGGAACAGGAGGGGCCACAGGGGAAGACAGAGCTAGGCCACGGCGATGAAATGCGGGAGCCACTTGTGCACCAAGCCACGCTCCTCCAGAATGGAGGTCAGACGTTGGAGCATTGAGGGCGTGGCTGCAGCTAGTCCCAGCCTTAGAGAACTGCCTGGAGCCAGGCGAGAACTGAGTTTAGCAAGCCAGGCTGCACTTTGCAGGCCACGTTGAGGAGTAACCGAGCACTTGCTTTGTCCCCGCCCTGCCCGGGTGCAAAGGTCCTGCTCCTGGCAGCAGATGCCCACCCCCTCCCGCTGAGTACGCAGTAGGGCTAAGAGGCCGTATAAGGTTTCCAGGGTTCCTTTCTCTGCCAGTGGGCCCGAAGTTAAAGCAACTTGCTGCATGCGGGAGTAGAACATGGGAGGCGCAGAGTTGCCACAGCACCATGGGAGTCTCCCCCATCAACCATGATAGCGGCAGGGGAAGGTCCTTATACTGAGCATGAGAAAGGCTGAGAAAGCCTAGCAAGGTAACTGATTAAGGGGAAAAAAGACCTCCAACCCCTTCTGGTACCAGATTGGGGGTGAGACCAGGGGAAGGCAGGCCTCTGTGCAATACACGTCAAAAAGGAAGCAGGGCAGTTACGTGACCAAGGAGGCCTGTCAGTCTAGCTCAGGGAAAGAAGGGATTGGTTGGGAGGTGGAGCAAGCAAAGCCCCCAGAAATTGGTCATTCTCAGAGAGCACCTGGTTTGTTCCACCCACGAATGATATAAACCCAGGAGAACAAAGAAACTCTATTACTCCTCCTTGCTCAAAGCTCAAGACCTGCATTCAGGTGTGTGCTGGGCTCCAGGAGAGGGTAAGGGGGTGGGTCTCTTTCTCCCTGGAACCGTACTCCCCCACTTGCCCCCTCCCCACCTTCCTCTCCCCTTGCTCTCTTCTCTCCCCCTCTGGTACCGCCCCCCCGCCGCCCCCCACCTGGTAAAACATTCACTGGTGCATCTGTGCGCTCTCTGGCCCAGGAACACAAGGCCTTGTGGCACTAGCTGACACTTGGCCATGGTCACCCTACAGGAGGGTGCCTGACGCCAGACAGCAGCTGGGAACAAGCTAAGCTACCTGGATGACTGCTTAGCAGCCGCCTGGGACTCCAAAGAACTGCCCTTTAAAATGGAGCAGGAACTCTGGGCTGCCGTTTGTCTTGATCTCGCTGAGGGCAGCTAGGTTTTGCGTGGGCCGGAGGAGAGGAGCTTTGAGACGGGGAGCTCCCCATGGTCCCAGGTCATTCTGCATTGGATAAAACGCTTTTAACTTTCTTACCTGCCCCTGCCTCTACAGCTTGACTTTAGTGGCAGTGGCCAGCCGAACCCCCATTTTTATTTAGTAGCAAAACCAAAGGGGAAGAGAGTAAGAGAAGAAGAAAACTCAAAACAAACAAAAAAACAGTTGACAAAATAGCAAGTACATACTTATCAATAATTACTTTAAATGTAAATGGATTTTACATTTTAAAATCCATTTACAATAAAAAGACATATAAGGTGGCTGCATAGATTAAAAAAAAGATATTCCACTGAAAAAAATGAAAGATTGTGTAGCAATACTCATATCAAACAAAATATACTTTAAAACAAAAAATGTAAATAAAGACAAATAAGGATATTACATAAATATAAAGCAGTCAATCCAAGAAGAGAATATAACAATCGTAAATATTTATGCACTGAAATACATGCAACTATTAATGATCACAGAGGGATACATTCACAGTAATACAACGGTAGGGGATTTTACTACCTCACTCACATCAATGGATCCTCCACAGAGAAAATCAATAAGGAAATAATGTCCTTAAATGCTGTATTAGACCAAATTGACTTAAAAACATTTCATCCAAAAATTGCAAAATATATATTTCTTTCAAGCGCACATAGAATATACTCCATAATAGATCACAAAGCAAGCCTTTTTCTTAAAAATCCTTTTTAAAAAAAGATTCTATTTATTTATTTTAGAGAACAGAGAAGGGTGAGAGAAGAGAGGGAGAGAAACATCAATGTGTGGTCACTTCTTGTGTACCCCCTACTGGGGGGCCTGGTCTGCAACCCAGGCATGTGCCCTGACCGGGAACAGAACCTGCGACTCTTTGGTTCACAGGCCGGCACTCAATCCACAGAGCCACACCAGCCAGGGGGCAAGCCTTAATTAATTTGAGAAAACTGCTATCATATGAAGCATCTTCTCTGACCACAATGTCATGAAACTAGAAATCAGTTAGAGGAAGACAACTGAAAAAGGCATATATGAGAGACTAAACATAATGTAACTCAACAGCCAATGGGTCAAAGAAGAAATTAAGTGTTGCTTGATAGTTAACCATGTCAGTAACAACTCAAGTATGTCTGCTTTTATCTCTTCTGTTCAACATTGTAGTGGAAGTTCTGGTCAGTGCAATCAAGCAAGAAAAGGAAATAAAAGGCATCCAGATGGAAAGGAAGAAATAAAACTGTGTCTATGTAGAAAATCCAATGAAATCTACAATCGATTGTATTTTTTATATGTTAGCAACAAATGATCACAAATTAAAACTTTAGAACAATTACGAGCCCAGGTCAGATGGCTCAGTTGGTTGGAGCACTGGTCCTGTACACCGAAAGGTGGAGCGTTCGATTACTGGGTCAGGGTACATACCTAGGCTGCAGGTTCAATCCCCAGTTTTGGTGCATACGGCAGGCAACTGATCAACGTTTCTCTCTCGCATCAATGCTTCTCTCTCTCTCTCTCTCTCTCCCCCTTCTTCTCTAAAATCAATAAAAACATATCCTCGAGTGAGGATTATAAATAAACAAATAATGAGCACAAAAATATGAAATACTTAGGGACAAATCTGATGAAAGCCTTATATAGTGAAAACTATAAAATATTGCTGAGAGAAGTTTAAACCTGAAAATCAATTTAAAAAGATCTTTTAGGGCTCAAAGACTCATTATTGTTAAGATAGCAAGTGTCCCTAAATTTAACTGTAGATTTAATGCATTACCAATAAAAATCTCAGCAGGCTTTTTTCCTCTAAACTTGACAGGAAAATTCTAAAATTTGGATAGAAATGTAAAGGATCTATAATAGCCAAAACAATATTGAAAAATAACAAAGTACAAGGCTAATATTACCTGATTTCAAGACTTGTTATAATGGGAGGTACAGAAATAGACCCATATGCATATGGACAACTGAACTTGACAAAGATGTGAAGGCAGTTCAGTGGAGAAAGGACAGCCTTTTTTACAAATAGGGCTGGAAAAACTGGCTATCCATATGCAGAAAAACTTCAATCCATATCTCACATTATTTACAAAAAGTACTCAAAATGGACCGTAGACCTAAATATATAGCCTAAAACTAAAAAACTTCTAGAATTAAAAAAAAAAAAAAGAACAGTCTTCATAGCCCTGTATTAGGCAAAGATTTTATTAGGTAGATATGACACCAAAAGCATGATCCAAAACTGTTAAAGTAGGCTTCATTAAAATTAAAAACTTCTACAATTCAAAAATATTTAAATGAATGAAAAGACAAGCCACAGATTGGGAATAAATCTTTGCAAAGCATATATCTGATAAAGGGCTTGTATCCAGAAAATATTAGAACATCTCAAAACTCAGTAAGGAAACAATAACCCAATTAAGAAATGGGCAGAAGGTCTCAGTAGACACTTCACCAAAGAAGATACACAACAGTAAATAAGTATGTGAAACAATGGTAGACATCATTAATCAGAGAAATACAAATTAAAACCATTAGAGCCACATATTAGAATGGCTCATAAAAAATGACTATCCCAAGTATTGGTGAGGATGTGGAACCACCATAACTCTCAGGGCAGTGGGAATGGAAAATGATACAGCAATTCTGGAAAACAGTGGGTGGCTTCTTCCAAAGTTAAACAAACATGTACCACATGACCCAGCCATTCTACGCCTAGGAATGTACCCAAGATGAATCAAAGCACATACCTATACAAAAACTAGTACTTAAAGTCGTTTTATATTTAATAGCTCAAAATTGAAAGCAACCCAAATACCTATCAACATGTAAATGGATAAACAAATTGTGGTATAAACTTGCAACAGAAAGCTGTTCAGCCATAAAAAGGAATTACTATTGCCAAGTAGTAGAGTGACTATGTCTTAAAAAATTACTTTGAATGAAAGCCACACAAAAAAGAATATATATCATATGACTCCATATATTTTTTTAAAAACTGTAGAAAATAGAAACAAGTCTATAGTGACAAAAAGTAGATCAGTGGTACCCTGGGATGAGGAAGGGAGGGGTAGGAAGCATGGATTACAAAGGGACATGGTGGATATACTTACTATTTTGATTATGGTGATGCTTTCGTAGGTGTTTACATATTCATCAAAACTGGAAAATTGTACACTCAAATATGTGCAGTTTATATGGTTATGTCAATTATACAAAAAAAACCTATTAAAAACAATCTATGCTAAGATATTTTTTAATAATATTATGTCACTTAGGAGTTTTCAGATTCTTGTTAGAAGTTTTCTTTTAATCCTCACCCAAGGATATATTTATTGATGAGAGAGATAGAGAGAGAAACATCAATTGGTTGCCTCCATCATGCACCCAGCACCTAAACCAGGGATCAAACCAACCTCAAGGATCTGATTAGAATCTTTTAAAAAGTCATTTAGGCCATCATTTTGTATTATTTGTAACAGTTTCTGAAGAATCAACTTCCACTGATATTTAAAGACTGGGGAGAGGAGCGAGTCTCAAGGATATACAATAGTCTCCCCTTATCTGTGGTTCTGCTTTTGGCAGTTTCAGTTACCCATGGCCAACTGCAGTCTGAAGATGTTAAATGGAAAATTACAGAAATAAACAATATACGTTTTAAATTGCACATGGTTCTGAGTAACATATGATGAAATTCCCTGCTGTTTGCTCCATTCCACCCAGGACATGAATCAATTCTTTTGTCCAGTGTATCCACACTGAAAACTCTACCTGCCTGTTAGCCACTAAGTAGCCATCTTCGTTATTAGATTGACTGTCCTGGTATCACAGTGCTCTTATTCAAGCAACCCTTATTTTACTTAATTAATAATGCCACATTCACATAACTTTTATTACAGTATACTGCTATAATTATTCTATAATTATTGTTGTTAAGCTTTTACTGTGCTTAATTTATAAATAAAACTGTATAGTAGGTGTGTATTACAGGAAAAAAATGTATGTGCAGGATACATAGAGTTCAATACTATCTGTGGTTTCAGGCACCCACCAAGGTGTCCTGGAATATATCCCCCATGGTGGGGGGGGATTATGCTACGCGAATGAAGCACTGAGAATAAATTTCATACAGATGCTTGGAAATCAGGGTTATCACTTGCCAAAAATGTGTGTCATTTTCAATAAGTATTTTTCAACTCATATGACTTTAGTGGTAACTGGAAATAACACTTCCAGTTGTTCCAACAGAAACAACAGAAAGTAGACTGGGTTGGCCAAAAAGTTTATTTAGTTTTTTCCAAACAATAGTTATAGTAGTGCTTAGTGGTCTTTAACTTCATTCAAAGTAATTTTGTTAGATTATATTGTGACAGCTGTTATATCAGCAGGCATTTTTTTTTTTAAATTTATCAAAATTGGTGAATTTTTGTGTAGCCACTTCAATACTGAGTATGGAAAACACACATTTTCAGCATATTATGTTTTATTATTTCAAGAAAGGTAAAAATAAACTTAAACACAAAAAAAGATTTGTGCAGTATATGGAGAAGGTACTGTGACTGACAGAATATGTCAACAGTGGTTTGAGAAGATTTCTGCTGGAGATTTCTCACTGGACCGTGCTCCATGGTTGGGTTGACCAATTGAAGTTGATAGAGATTGAATCAAGACATGAATTGAGAACGATCAAATGAACGTTACACCACATGGGAAACTGCTACCATACTCAAAATATCCAAATCAATAAAGTTATTGATGAAAATGAAAAATGTCTTATTTTATGGAAACAACTAAAAGGACTTTTTGGCCAACCCACTGTTATTAACAACAAAATAAAATTCTCACCGTAGCAATTAAGAATTTTCTCATCTATGGAATATTTGCTTTTGTGATTAATGAAAGACAGGAACTAATATTCACTGACCAGGTTCTGTGTGCCAAGCACTCTTTAATATTATCTCCCTTAACTAATACAATCATTTTATGAGACAGCGTTGCTCTCATTTCATAGGACTGAAACAGAGTAAAATATATTTCCATGTTCTCATACCCATTGAATTTGATTCAAATCTAGGTCAACTTAATACAAAAGCCAAGAATACCTCACTAACAATAAGCAGTAACAATTCCATTCCATTCCATTCAATGAAGATATATACTTAGCACCTACTATGTAACAGATCCTACCAAAGATGATGTGAGACACTTCTGACCCAGTACAGAGAAAATCTGTGTTCACTGCTCAGTTGTCCCAAGCTTGTGACAATGCAAGGGAAGAAGGAGGCAGAGCCCTCATCAGTCTTGCTCATTTAGTGTTTTAGATCTTAGCCCATGCCAGTCACATAGTAGATGACTCAAATACCTATTTGTTGAATGAAGGGAAATTAACATTCCTTGAACATTCAATACGTTCAAGACATAGTTCTAGACTAGCGATTTTCAATCTATCTCATGGCAAACATTAATTATTAAAAATCTGTGGCACACCAAAAAATATGTTCTGCTGACCAAAAAAAAAAAAAAAAAAAAAAAAAGGTATAATTTTGATCCATTCACACCAGATGGCTATTGTTGTGTTAACTGTTACCATTTTTTTTATTTGACAGCCTAAGGGAAAGGAGGTCAGTGCCCCTGACTAAGGAGTTGGGTATCGCATGTTTTAAAAATTCTGGCAGCACACCAGGGTGTACACTAGTCGAACACTGCTGTTCTAGACAATGTATGTTCTATCACCTCACTGCGATCTTAAGAACAGATGAGGATGACAGTGAAGCTCAGATTCACTCACCCAGGATTTACAGAGTTTGAACCCACAGCTCCGGCTCTCCCCATACCATATCCCATTTGTGAAACCTTTAATTTTATACTCATTGCCTCAGTTTGATTTTTGAAATGGCCTCTAGATCACCAACTTGATAAGCATGCATCTTAGAATAACTCGCACTTTGGCTGCTTCAAAATACTTCCTAGAACTAAGTAATGCTAATATCATCGAATTTTAAAATTAAAATGTCTTTAAATATTACTAGGAAAATACAAAAACTTGAGAGATAGTAGGGTAAGTTTCAGAACCAGGAAGCAGCCAATCCTCAGGGCCTTTGTAGAAATGACATCTGTAGGAAATCAATAGGAATGACACCTCAGCGATGTCAAGCGAAAAAAACTTCACCTACAATTAAAAAAAATTCTGCATTAGAAATTAAAAGATTGTCTTTCCTCCTTGTAATGCCACGTCAACTGCTGGCGAGATCCTTTCAGTAGTCATCGTATTACAATTTGTTAAACAAGCCAATCTAGGTCGGTATACACTGGAGCAAACAAGTCACTAATGGCTGTATTTCTGAATCTATACATTCTGAATTTTTTTAATACCAGCATTTGAAAAACCATATGATCTAGTGCAATAAAAATATCCTCAATTAAGTTTGTAACTCTCTTAACTAAGCTAAGGAATATGACAAAGCTCCAAAAATAAGATTTACTTGAACTCACTTAAATTGCAAAAACCAAAGTTTGGCAGCGGCAAGAGAAGGGGAACTAGAAGTAGGATGTGAGAGCAAGTTCTAAGTCGAACACTGTACCACGCCTGGCAACTCAAAGTCAGGCCATCAAATACGTGGCACTGCTGAGACGCTTATAAAAGCAAAGTCAGGTCTCCTTAACGAATCAAAAGTAAGGAGTTTCATGACCAAAATGCTTTATAACTTCAGATTACCCACCTGAAATTGCCTGATGAAAAACAAGATCATACCCACTGCACAGATGAGAAAAACGACAGGAGCGTTTTCAGGTTACCCAATCCGACGCCATGCGCATGGCGTTTTGGGAAACGCTCTTAATTGCTAAAAGTGGGTGCCAGGTGGGCTGGGATTTATATTTGGAAAAATCTGCCTGGGAACGAGCACGGTGTGCAGATGAACGGCAAAAAGGACGGGCAAATTTCCCTGCGGGGGGCGCGTATGGAGTCTCGGGGGGTTTTCCGGACGGCGCCCGGCGGACCGATCTCCCACGCGTCAGCGTGACGGCTGCGTGCCCAAGGCCCACTCCCAACCTCCGTTCCCTCACCCCAGAGGTCACCCTGACCCGGAAACAGTAGCCCAGGCTAGCAGTGGGCCGTGGGGGAGGGGCGAAAAGGAACGTGGGAGAGCGGGAAGTGCGGAGCAAAGAGGAGGGCTGACCTGAAGGGCAGAGGGCAACGCGAGGCCGAGACTGCAATGGGGATGAGGAAGGGAAGCCCTTCGCGGGCGCGCGCGAGCCGCACACACTCACCTGCCCCTCCCCCACCCCGCCCGCCCGGCGGAGGCTCCGAAATGCTGCGGGATGCGCGCGCGCGCGCTCGAGGCGCGCGCACGCGCGCTGGCTGGTCGCTTCTCCGAGCTCCCGCTCTCCTTGTTCAGTCTCAGCCCCGCTCATTCAAAGCCGGGCGCGCGCTCCGTCGCAAGCGCCGTAGCCGCCGCGCAGCCGCCATGGCCGCCCCCTCCTCGGGAAGCCCTCCCCTCGCTCCTCCTTTTTTGCCCTCCTCGAAGGGTGCTCTCGGTTCTCTAACTGCCCGTACTTCCGCACCCCGCCCCTGTCCTGTCTGGCCCAATAGGCTAGAGTCTGCGGGTCGGGCGTCGCGGCTGACAGCCATTGGGCGCCGGGGGGCGGGGTGAGCGGCAAGCACTGTTGTGGCTGAGACGGGCTTCTGGGTCGAGTTTCAGTGACTGTTACTGGTTTCACTGACTGTTCTGTCGCCTCGGTGGTTTTTTCCCTGTGTCCCTGCCTCCTATAGGGTGCCTCGGCTCCAACACGCCCCTTACTGTTCTGCCTTCCACCATATGGGACCAAGGGAAAGCTGCGTTTAGATAGCAAAAAATGAGGGCGCCCCCCGCCGTCTTGGTATGCTTTTTGAATGTGAATAGGCCTGATCTCATTCTGCCAGGCGAGGGGTGCGAAATGCTGTTTAACTTCCGACTTGGACTTATGCAAGTCAAGTTTGATTTAATTTACTTTAACTGGAGGTAAAAAAGTGGCACTAATCCTCACGCGGCCTGGGCTCGCCGTACTCCCAAACTAAGGTATTTCTATGGTTCTCTCTTAGAATCCTGACTTTTGTTTGTTTTTATCCTGTGTGCTATTGAAAGGCTAGGGCTCTGCTATTTTGGGCAAGGGACCCTCAAAAAAACTATCTGCTCCACTGTTGCCAAAGCGACTGGCGAGGGATATGGTCAAAGACTGAAAGCAAATCATGCAAATTGATCCCCAACCAGATTTTACTTTTTCTGGTTTTTTGGGACTACAGCTACCTTCGTGCTGTCATCCTGATCTGCACCTGCCTAGCCATTTAACTTGCTGGAACCCCGCCCCCCCATCCCAACCCCATTCCAATCTGTATCGCATTTCTATTAATGGTTAATTTGTTTATTCCCCAAAGGAGAAGGTAACGTTTATGACTTTTGGTCTGAAATGATTTTGTGTAATTTTGGATGTTATTTCATCTAGAAACTTCAGGTTTTTATATCAATAAAATGGTCCCAATAGTTCCCACTTCGTGGAATTACTAATGCTTGCGAAGCTCTTAGTGCAGAGCCTGCTACAGAGCAAACATTCAGACATAAGAGCTGTCGCTACCTTTACTACTACTGGTACACTAGTTCATCGTTCCCAGTTATAACGCCTCCCTGAGCCCACTAAACTCTCTGCAGTCCCTTAAACACTTGTGTTAACCTTTATCTCTTCAAACAGTAATTCAGTCAATTCAGAAATCCAATAATTCAGAATTTCCAAAATGATTTTAGATTCCAGAAATTCAACAGACCAAAATAGACTACATTCAGCATTATGCTAAGTGTGATAAACCACTGAAAAAGACAAGTACCATATAACTTCACTCATGTGGGATCTAATGAACAAAATGAATTAACAAGCAAAATAGAGACAGGGAGAGCAGGCTGGCAGCTGTGGAGGGGTTGTGGGGTCTGGGGATTGGAGGGATTGAGCAAAAAAAAAAAAAAAGAAATGGCCCATGGACATGGACAACAGTGCTGTGATTGGGGAGTGCAGGGGGGACTGAGGGCAGAGGTGCGGGAGGATTAGCGGGGATAAATGGTGAGGGATGGAGACTTGACTTGGGGTGGTAAGCACATAACACAGTATGCAGATAATGTGTTGTAGAATTGTGCACCTGAAACCTGTATAATTTTGTTAACCAGTGTCACCCCAATAAATTCAATAAAAAGGAGAAAAATAGCCTACACCCTGACATAAACATGTTTTCAAAATTTTTTCCTTATATCTTTGCTTCAAACATGCGGATTTATTATAACAGATTTATTATACCTCCATGATATTCTTATTTTTTATAATTCTTCAGTTTTCTTTATTAAGTGTGCCATTTCCAAGTGAAACAAAAAGTATATGCTTTTCCAAAAGCAGTGAACACTTAGTTGTTGCTAACACAATAGCAAATTTAAAGTTTGTTAAAGATTGTACACTTGAAATTTAAAAATACCTATGAAAGAGTGTTTTTAAATCATCTTTAGTTGAGTAGTAATCCCCTAATTGGGGACACAGGTGCCAATAATTGGGGATCTTGCTTGGGGACCACCTCTTGGGAGTGTGCAATTTGAAGTCCTGTCCTCTGCCCAAGGCTTGGTGGGGCAAGTGACGACCAACTGTCAAGTGACAAGCACATAAGGGTTAGAATCTGATGTATTAAAGATTTCTTTCTGGATTGCCCCTACTTCATGGGGTGTAGTTAATTCTACCTGCTCTGTGTCAAGGTCATGTTGACCACTTAAAGGCTTATGATTGGCCTCGACCCAATCCGCAATCACCACTCTATCTATTTATTTGTAATTTATTCATTTTATCAGTTTCCAAACCACCATTTACACTCTCAGTTCAAAGTCTGTATAGACTTCCTTGTTCTGGGTTCTCCAGCTGGGTCTTAGTACTGGGTTGTCAGCTGACCTCCCCTCCCTTCCCTGGAGTTAGGGCAGACCTTGCAAACACAGCCTGATCCTTCCAGATCTCCCCCAACCCACTTTCCTGGCTATTCATTAAAGGGATGATTTTTCCTCAAGCACAATTTTAGACCTGCTGTTCTGACTTGGACATTAAAGGCTTTTTATTAATGAGCAGCTGTTCACAGTTGAATACAGATCATAAAGTCACATTTGTTTCATCATCAAGCAAAACAAAGCCTTGCAGCTCATTGAGTGACAGTTTTGAACAGATACATTTGAAAACAAAGGATTATCTGAAGATAATTTTAATGGCTTGTTTTAGTCATTCTTTTTGTTCTGGAGAATTTTGCTTTCTTTCACAGTAATACATTTTAATATTCTGAAAAATTATAATTTATTTTTTAATATCCATGATCACCATTTACTAGTTAGGGTTAATTGCTTAATATAGAAACTGAAAAGTCTGAAACAACATTTTAATTTTGTTTTTATTAAAAGAAAACTAACTTTCCATGAAGGATTTAAATAAATATTTTTTATCATGATATTACTACCGCATATCTTCAATTAGTAGTAATGTCTACGGCTAAATACAGGATCACCCGAGACAGGCCTAGATAAGAATGGAGGACAGTAGTAATGGGCGTCTTTTACTGGTGAGGTTCAGCAGTGTCATGCCTCTTGGCTAATGTCCACATTGTTATTAAAGCTCTAATATAATTCAAGTATATTATGAGTTAAGTGGATACTGAGCAGGTCTGGCAATCTAAGGCCAATTATTATTTCTAAGGATAAATGTGTCGAGATTCATACAATCCATATAAAACAATAGTTTATAGCGTGATCTATCTTGTGAGTTGAAAACTTTATAATAAAACCACAGCGAACCAACACTGGAAGCCTAAACCTTTCAGCAACAGCATGGTGGACATCGTGGCTTTTACTTTAAACAAACTTGAATCTCAGTTTTCTCATCTGTAAAATTTGGTTAATAACTCTGGTCTTAGGGATTCATTTTATAAAGTGAGTGGCACAATGCATGTGGAAACGTATTGGAATCACAGCAATAACACCTGTGAGAGCCTTCAAGCATACAGGTTTATCATCTTCAAGTCCAGTAGAAGCTTCTTTTAGCTACAACAGGGAATAGTGCTTCCAAGAAAAAAAGGTGAATATTCTCTCACCAGCACTCAGAAATAGACATGTTAGTAACACATTTAAAAAGGGAAAGCAGAAGCGAACACTAAGCTTTGAAGCTTGTGCTGAGTACATCCCCTCCCACCCCCGCCTCCTTTGCTTTAACAACAGGAGGGGGGAAAGCAGCTGTTGGAAGGAAAGCACCTGCAACCCTGCCCTGCCCTCTCCGTGCCTTTTTCTCAGTGCTCATGGAATATTTTTCTCATAACAGTAATACCTGTTGCCAAGGTTCATCCATTCTTCTCAATGTCTATCATTTTAGCACACCAGAATTCTCATAATGATGTCTTAACTAGTATTTTGTATTTCCCCCCCTTCCTTTAAATCACTTTGGTCCTTTGCTGTATTATTACCTTAAATATTTTTAAAACAGACATTTTTTTTTAAAGATTTTATTTATTTATTTTTAGAGAGGGGAAGCGACGGAGAAAGAGGGGGAGAGGTTGTGGTTGCCTCTCGCGCGCCCCCTACTGGGGACCTGGCCTGCAACCAAAGCAGGTTCTCTAGATTGGGAATCAAACCGGCGACCCTTTCGTTGGAAGGCTGGAACTCAATCTACTGAGCCACATCACCCAGGGCATAAAACACAGGCTTTTTAATGGTTACTGTTCTATTCAAAATAAAGAGCGATTTGTCATTGTCCATCAATTCAAATTCACTTGGCAGGATACATGTCTTGGTTGTTGCTTTTTATACTCTTCATTTAGAACTGCTGCTCCTGAATCCCACTCTGACCATATCTGTTCCTTTAAAATATCAGATATCTCAGCAATTCTTGTTAAAAGTGTTTTGTGTGTACATATTGTACATTTCATATGATGAAAATTAACTTGCCTCCTCACCATGAAATATATCTTGCTGTGGTTTTATTTGAAATTACAC